CCTGGTGCGGGCCCGGGCTGTGCTTGAGCTCTGACACCGCTGCAAAGTCAGAGCACGCTTGGAGCCTGAAGGCTTCATCTAAACCCGCAAATATTAGGATGCCTGTTCAGACAAACGCTTCCAGCGACGGGGGTGCGTATGTGAGTGGGAAACACTGCCTCTGTGCTCAGTTCAGTGTTTCCGGAGAGCTGTCACTGTAAACGAACGCCGTGTAGCGTAGCTACCAGCGCCTTTGGACATCCACAGCAGTTATCACTCACGTCTTAGCTACAGCACATAGAACTCACTGCCAGGTACACAACCCACTGGAGTTGCTGCATCAGTAATATTCAGGCAGATGATTTGTGCTGAGTTCCAGGCTGCTCTTGGTACCTAATTAGGGCAGTTTAAGCCATCTCTGGGAGGCCTGTGCTTCTTTCTTGTTGGTATCGTATTACAGACCCATCTTAAGTTTTTGTTTCTTGACTACAGTTGGCTCTACATGGATTAAGATGTACAGAAGTAAATTAATTTTAGCTTTGGCATTTAAGGAAAAGATCCTAAAGCCACATCAGTCCTGCAGATAATCAATAGCCAAAACCCAAGACTTTGCAAGAGTATCAGAAGAGGCTCTTCAATGATTATCAGGCAAGACAGGTTTTTGTTACATACAGTTATTTACATCACATTCCGTATAATCACTATCTAGATGCCTTCCTAAAGTACTAAAAATATTTTTCAGGGAGTTGGAGTATATGCTACTTAGAAAGAAATTTATACAAATTAAAATACATATCAATAAACTAAATGCTGTTATTCACATTCAGTTAGAATGTAGTCTAAACAAAGTCATTATCGGCACATGCATCTCAGTATGGCAGAATTTGGTCTTTGATAGTGATCCTCGTGCTATTTTTCCATGTCCCCTCCAATTATTTTTCTTCCTTTCCTCACTGAAAGCACCACTCACACCAGCTTACACTGATCTGGATCAGTGCAGCCATGATGCTGCCTCCTCTGCCTTCATGTATCTGTCCTCTCTGTTTCGCGCTAGCACTCAGTTCAGTTAGCTCATTTGGCAGAAACCTAACACAACAAAAAAAGGAGATAGACATTTAGCTGAATCGACTCCATGAAACAGTTGTCCACCTAGCTGTACAACTGCTAGTGCGGACACAAGGGAAGGGAGAGAATGCACAGATCCCACCTCAGGTGAACTCAGGCCATTGCAGAAAAGCACAGTAATTGATGGTGCAGTTTTACAATTCACATTAAGTGACCTCAGAGTGTAATACCACCAAAAGGAGCAATCTCTCCTGGTCTTAGTTGTGCTTTTCTGCTAAAAAAATTTGCTGCCGATATAGCTAAACTAATGCTGAAGAGTTACATGACAATTACAGACAGTAATATATTGTATTTAATGCCATTATAGAAAACTTGTTTAAAACACTGTATTTTCTGTATTTTCACATTAAACTGTACCTATTGCTGACATCTGTGGGATAGCAGCTCTCTCACACAAGACTCCCTTGTGCAATACATATCAGATTCTAACTGGTCTATGTCTCTTTAAGCAAAACAAAGCCCTAATTAGACATCTCTCTTGAGTTACTACAGAGACCCTTAGTTTTGCACTGACCTCTATACAGAAGGTTTTTGCTAAGGTACAGATTTGTAACAGAAAAATTAAGACTGGTATGAATGAATTATGAACAGCAGCCTATGTGTGAAAGCAATATAAAAAATAAGGCAAGGGTTAAAAGAACAACTAAGAGCACAATTTATTGACAGCAATAAAACTGGTAAGCACAGAAGACTGCTGCTTACTTTGAGACCAGAAGACCTGCACTCTGATAAGGTCCTACCTGTCACAGAAGCTTTGTCAGCAGACGATTTGTGCTCTGATTATAGGAAGATTCCAAAAGGTCATAGCACATTGTATATGCCGTTCCTCTTCCTGCTGGCATAATAGGAAGAGAGACTATAGCTGCTGAGCTACCCAAAATAAGGAAAAATAGACAACGGGTAGCAACCTTGCCTAAGATTTATGGAGGATGAACCAAGCAAGAATCTGAGGCAACAGATCACACATAGTAACTCCTGATCATAAAAGATCTGTGCAAAAAACAGTCTGTCATCACCAATCCAGGGAGAGAGAATAGACAATAAGGGCCCAATAACTGAGATAGTACAGACTCAATAATATCCTCTGCGTTGCATTCAAGTGATCCTGGCTACACCACTTAGGATACACAACTCTCGGTGCTTGTAAGCATGCAAGTATGAGAAAAATGAAACCTATGAGGAAATGAGTATGTGGGACCAAAATCAGGGTTAAGTATCGCTTTCCAATTCCATAATGTCTCACATTGAGTTTTGTCAAATTCCTTCAGGCATCTAGTAGAAATCCAAAGGCCAATCTACCTGCTGGTAGCTAGTATCAACCCACTTCCAAATTAGAAACCTAGATGATAATTGCATAGTTATTACTCCGTCAAATCAACAATGACAGCTTTGATAGCTCGTCATAATGAATGATTTTTCTAAAAAACAGAAAGAAGGCTGTTTTTTTGAATTGTTAGATATGACAAAGAAAAGGAGGTAATCTGTAAGTACTTAGGATCAAGGTGAGAGAGCTGTCATGAAGAGCTAGCATGTCAATATGGTCTAGCTGGAGGTGGTCACAAGAGCCCATCAGTCAGAAACACTGGCACTAAAGCGACACCAACTTTCAAGGTTTGCTGCGACCCACTTTATTCTGCTTGTTTCTGTCAATGTCTGTTTCAGACTACTCGCCCTGTAGTTATGAGCAGAAGTGAAAGACCCTGCAAGAAACACTGGTCACCAGATACACTCTGGAGTAGCACTGCACAAGTGAGACTGCATGCCGAGCATTCACACACCGCCTGCCAGGCAGGAGGCCGGCGAGGAACCGCACGACTCAGCAGAAGAGGCAGCCGTGGAGAAGCACTCTGGCGCTGGCACTGTTAACTGCCTCAGCACTGCAAAAAGTTGCATCCCGGAAGCCGCTGCCCGGAAGCACTGCCAGCAATAAGCACTTGGCGG